TAAAGGATGTACGGGGAGGTCCAGACTAGCATCATGGTAGATACCTTTATAAACTATAACTGACTTTTTACTATGTGCACCATATAGTAAATATTTTCAGTTTTGTAGACCATTCAACCTCTGTGGCAACTGTTGATCTCTGCTCTTTTAGGATTAAAGCAGCCATAGGTTATATGTAAATTAAGAATAAATATGGCTGTGTTTCATTCTAGTTTGTTGGCCCTTATTTTGAACAAAATTAATAACAATTTCTAATAGTGTTTATAACAAAATAAAAAGTATAATGCATGGCATCAGTAGCATAAAAGCCAAGAGGGAGAAACAGGTATATATGATAAGCTTTTCACATGAAGTGCAGTGGTACAATATCACTCAAGGATAGATTGGTAAATTAGAGATCTATAGTTTGACTCTGAAAGCAACCAATATCAAGCAGATTGGTAGCTAATAAGCCTAAAAAGGAAATTGAATCATAAAATATACTTGAGTAATCCAAAAAAAGGGAGGAAACAAAGAAAGCGATAGGACAAATAGAAAATATCAAGATGGGAGACTTAAGAAAGACCATATTATAATAAATGTAAATGGTTTGAATATGCCAATCAAAAAACAGGGATTGGCCAGGCATTGTAGCATATACCTATAATCCCAGCACTGTGGCAAGCTGAGCAGGAGAATCACAAGGTTGAACACAGGCTGGGCAATTCAGCAACTTAGTAAAACCCTGACTCAAATAAGAAAAGGCTGAAGATATAGCATTTTATATGAAAAATAAAAAGCTAAACAAGTATAATGATAAAGGAGTCATTTAATCAAGATGATGTAAGGATTCTAAATGTTTATGTTCCTAATAACAGAACTTCAAAGTGCATAAAGCTAACATCAGTGAACCTTGAAGAAATATTAAGTGAAATAAGCTAGACAAATATTATATGATTCCATTTATCTGACATATCTAGAATAGTCATAAAGATATAAATAGAAAGAGTAGAATCATGGTTTCTAGGAACTGGAAGTTGGGGAAGCTCATCTAGAAATAAGCCCACACCTACGACCAAATAAGTCAACTGCATGACCAGTGGTACATGCAGTTAAAGCAGTGGAGAAGCTAAAGCAGTTGGATCCATATGTTAAAAAAAAAAAAAGAAAACCCAAAAAACTGAACTTGGATATATACATGATATTATGTACAAAATTTAACAGAGAATGGATCATGAGAGCCAGGTGTGGTACATGACTCTAATCCCAGTACTTTGGAAAGCAGAGGCAGAAGGATCAGAAATTTGAGCCCAGCTTGGACAAATCAACAACTTAGTGAGACCCTGTCTCAAAATTTTAAAAAGGGGGCCAGGGATTTAGCTCAGTGGTACCGCCATCTACCTCACAAGCTCAAGATCCCAAGTTTGGCCCCGGTACCAAAAAAAAAATTTTTTTAAAGGACTGGGCTTGTAGCATAGCATGAAGACTCTGAGTTTAATCTCCAGTATGGCAAATAAATTAAATAAAAAACCAAACAAATAAATATCATAAACCTAAAAGATAAAACTTTCAGAAGAAAACATTGGAGAAAAATGATGACCTTGAGTTAGGCAAAGATTTCTTAGTTACAACACTAGAAGCAAAGAAGAAAAAAATTGATAAATTGACTATCATAATTTAAGACTTCTCTTCAAAAGACAGTGTTAAGAAAATAAAAACAGAAGGCACATATTTGGAGACTATCTTTGCCAAGCGTATATTTGATAAAGGTTTTTTATCCATAATATAAAAAGAACTTTTAAAAGTAAACAGTAAGAAAAAATATAAACCAATTTTTTGGACCAAAGATTTGAACAGACACTTGATCCAAAGAAAATATACAAATAATAAATAAGCCCATGAAAAAAATGCATCATTAGTCATTAGAGAAAATACAAATTAAAATAATGGTAAGGTACTCCACACCTACTAGAATGGCTAAAATTGAAAAGGTTGAACACCTCAAAGGTTGGCAAGCGTGTTGAGGAACTATGACTGACAGACTATTCATGGGAATGTAAAATAGTACAACCACTCTGGAAAATAGTTTGGCAGTTTCCTAAACAGTTAAACATAATATCTGCCACATGATTCAATCATTTCAGTCCTAGGTATTTGCCAAACTCTAGAAATACAAACTATAGTAACAGAAGTAGATCAGTGGTTGCTTGGGAGGTGAGGAAGAAGGTGAGGATAATGGCACAAGAAAAGTGGGTGGTGATGAGTGTTTATCATCTTGATTTTGGTGATTATTTCACAGATGTATATCTAAGCTTAACAAATTGTTCCATGTTAATATTTGGAGATTATGATGTCATTTTTACCTCAGTATGACTTTATTTATAAAAATTAACCTAAATACTTCAATGAAATTTGGGGCCCTTAGCTTTTAAAATCCAATTAGTCTAGTCACTAATAAAATATGACCAATTAATTCCTTAGTTTCTGATCAGTCATATTAGCTACTCTTCACTTAGCTAAGAGCCAAAAGCGAATTGGAAAGAGTGGAGGAAGTACAACTGACAATACTCTGAGCAGAAACAAGAGACACAGAAGCATTCTTCCACTCCACCAAATCTATGACTAGTTCCTAAGCTCTGTAGAGAGAACTATATTGCTTTCAGCAGTTTTAATCCTTTATAAATTTAATCACCTTCATTAAAATTATATAACCAGTAACATACACCCCAAGAAATTCTGATTCAGTAAGTTCAGTGTAGCTTCATGTACCAATATTTTAAATTTGTATTTAAATTTATTTTTATATGTACTGAAAATATATAAAACATAAATAGTATCATTATAACCATACCCAGTGGCATTAAGTACACTAACATTGTTGTACAACCATCACCACAGTTCATCTTTAGAACTTTTTTCATCTTGGAAAAGTGAAACTCTGTATTCATTAATCATTAAACTCTCCATTCTCCCTTTACCCAGCTCCTGGAAACCATTCTTTTTTTCTATCTATGAATTTGACCACGTTAAGGACTTCAGTGACTGGAATCATGTGTTTGTTCTTTCATGTCTGGTTTATTTTGCATTGAATAATGTCTATAAGATTTATTCAAATTAGCTTATGTCAGATTCTTTGTAAAGATTGAATAATATTTCATTGTATCTGTATACCACATTTTGTTCATTCAGCAGCAGCATACAAGGGTTCTGATTTCTTCACATTCTTGTCACCATTTGTTCCTATTTTTATTTTTTTTAAATAGGTAATAGGTGTGAAGTGGTATCTAATTGTGGTTTAGATTTGAATTGCTGTAATGACTAGTGATTTTGAGTATCTTTTCATATGTTGATTGATCATTTGTCTCTTTTACAGAAATGTCTGCTCAAGGCTTTTGCCCATGTTTGAATTAGGTTATTTTTTGTTATTGTTGTCATTGCCTTTTAAGAGTTCTTGGAATATATTATAGATATTTCTCCCTTAGCATATATATGATTTGCAAATATTTTGTGCCATTCTGTGAGGTGCCTTTTTAATAGTGTCCTTTGAGACACTAAAGTTATTTTGATGAAGGTCGATTTGTCTATTTTTTCTTTTGTTGCCTGGGGCTTTGGTCCAAAAAAACTGCATTGTCTAAGCCAGTGTTGTGAAGCTACTCCTATATTTTCTTTAGAGAGTTTTATAATTGTAGCTCTTATGTTTAATGTTGTCCCTCTCTCTCTCTCTCTCTCTCTCTCAAATAACCTATATACACAGTTGTCCCTTGGTATCTTCAGGAAATTAGTTCTGGGACCCTCATGTCCACCAAAATTCACAGATGTTCAAGTCCCTTATATACTATGGCATAGTATTTCAAAAGCTATGTACATCCTTCTGTGTACTTTGAATCATCCCTAGTTTATTTCTAATACCTTATACTGCATAAATGGTATATAAGATGTTGTCATACTGTATTGTTTAGGAAACAATACCAAGAAAAAATTGTATTTGTATGTGTTCAGTCTAATACAGTGCTTTTAATCTGCAGTTAGTTGAATGCACAGATATCCACCGATAAGGAGATTCTGATGCATACTCCAGTTTTTTGTTTTTGTTATTTTAAATGCTGCTTTAGTCATACTTTAGTGCACTTGCTTAGGCACCTATGGCTGAAAAGTAAGGTATTAACAAAAACAAGGTTACATTAACTTAGCAAACACAAGGTTACGGGAACTGGAATGTTTGAGAATGTTGTGATGTCAGAAATTATCAGCTCCACAGCTAAGATAATTTCATCCTTAGTATCTAAACTAATTAGTTAACTTTCCCTTCAATTAGCTGACTAGCAAAGGAATATGGTTGAATGGTTGACCATTTATTTATTTGTAGTACAGGGGATTTAACCCAAAGGCTTCACACTGAACTATATCCCTAGCCCTTTTTATTACTACTATTATTATTTTTATTTTGGGGACAGGGCTTCACTAAGTCATTAATTTTCCCAAGCTAAGCTTTAACTTGTGATCTTCCTGCCTCATTTTCCTAGAGTACTGAGTCTACAGGCATGCACCATCACCCCTAAGTGAAATATAATCCTCTAGTTGATTTTGTCCCATGTTCTGTGAAACCACCTTAGATAAGTTTAGGAGTGGGGATATGTTAAGAAGTAAGACAGTTTTTCAAGTGGGATCCAGGAAAAACAGTTTGGCCTAATTGTTCCTCTTCCAGGGCACTGTCTTACCAAAGAATTTGTAATTTTCACTATAATCTCTCAATCGTACTTCTTCTCCCATAATTCCACACTATATGAAGAAATGATATATGAGAGTACACCAAAATAAACTTTCCCTTGTGTATTTTTATTTAAGGCTGTTTTTAAGAGGCTATTCAATATATCCACAAGAATATCATGTAGATAACAATCACAGTATTCTATTGATAAAATGACAACTAAGCATCCAAGAATTTCTTGAGAAGTGGTGAATAAAACATACTTTGTTATATATATTCTTCTTATGACAAGCTTTTCTGTCCTGTTTCCCAGGGCTCTCAAATGTCAGATGGGGCCAGCAAGGAGCTCCATGCCCAAGCTCAAGAACGGCTGCAACACTACTTTATGAGCAGGGCCCTCGAAGAGAGAGCCCAGCAGCACAGAGAGGCTCTGATGGCTCAGATCAGCACCAGTATTGAACAGCTAATGAGTATGTGCTCCATCCATTTTTGTTTCATAAAAGGAATAACCTTTGCAAGATATATGACATCTAAAATCTTCAAAAGGAAGACACTAATAATCTTCTTGCCCAATTTCTGTTGTCATGGAATTTCTACATCTAGATCATAACAGCATGTTTTCAAATGATACAGATTCCATAACCTCCTTCTTGTGTGCTTCCTCTGTCATTCATGTGTTAGGTCAGAGTTACAAATTTCAAAGATGATGAACCCTACTAACCAGTTTCTACTACATAATCCCAAAAGCTTTTGGTCATATTTTAGAAGCAGATAATAACAGTGCCATAGTTACAGTGCCATTCACTTGTATGACATTTCATAATTTTTAATGAAGTGCTTCACAGAAGTTTCTATTCTTCATCGTAGTCATTTAACAAAAATTATATATTTTAAACACAGAAATGGCCAGGCAGTTGGGAGTGTTGCTACCAGGGAATTTTAGAATCTTATCTCTTCCTGCTATAGCAGAGATTGTAGCTCTGTAGTTTCTAAGTTCCTACTTGTTTGGCATAGGACTCTTCCATTTACCTGTTTATTTTCTGTTTACTGCAGAGGCACCAACTCTGAAGGACGCAGAAGGGAAAGAACCTGAGCTCTTCCTAAGTAGATCCAGACCTGTGGCAGCCAAGGCCAAACAGGCCCATCTCATTACCCTGAAGCACACACAAGCACCCTGGTGGAAGAAGCTTGGGGAAGGACCAGGCGATGAGACTGATATTCCAAAGGATGAGCTTACCATAGAATTAGGAACCTTATTCATTGGTGGAACAAACCCCCTTAGGGAATTACCCTGAAAATTGACACTAATCTCATAATTCAGGAAACTATATTGGTTCTTTTCTGGTATCCTGGTAGCCTAAGACTTACCTAACTTGTGATTTTCCAGAGATTTCTTTCCAAAAAAGATTTATGGGAAGTAAGCAAAGAGTTATCATCTACCTCTCAATTCTCATTTTACTTTCTCCACATCCCTGTCTCTGGCCATACATACAGATTTGTGTTGCTTTTATTGTGGCACTAGGGCACTAGACTGATCATGGCATTGTGTTAACATAAAATATGAAATTTATTTCATTTTTGCTATCTTCCTGTGAAAGTTTTTTTAAATATATATATTTGGGGATGGGGGGGTACCGGGAATCAAACTCAGAACCTTGAGCTTACAGGGCAGGCACGGGGCCACTGAGCTAAATCCTCGGCCCTTTTTAAAATATTTTTAACAATTGTTCTGAAAAACTTGAGATTATTTCAACTTTTCACATTTGTGATTTAGAATTCCTGTATTATTATTATTATTATTATTATTATTATATTATTATTATTATTAATGTGTTTTGGTCATTATTAAGGTGAGGAAAAGCAGAGGTCAATAGAAGGACTTCACAGTTTTGTATAAAAAATGGTTGAACTTAATTTCTATTCTTTTATTTCTAAAAGGAACTACACACACACACAAATCTAACCAGGATTCAATGCAAGAAAATTTCTCCACCTAAAATTGCATTCTTGTTATTAAACTATGAAAAATACATATCTTGCTGCTTCCCTTTTTGTCTCTTCTAGAAACCTGAGAACTGAATACAATGCTTAATTTTTATTGTGACCCTATGTACCTATATGATTATTTCATTATAATAATTTCTGATATTTCTATTTATTTTTAATTATATTTTAAAACCAGAAGGCACCTCAATTTGTGATTATAACAATATTGAATTTAAAACAGGTAACAAATCATGACTAAAGAATTTAGAGGATTCTCTTTATATAAATGAGTAGAAATACTAGTGTTCCTGGGTAGGAAGATCAAATTGTATAATGTCCATTTCTCCCAAAGTTAATTTTGGCAAAATTCTAGTCAAAAATCGTAATTTTCATTCATAATTGGAAAAGGAATGTATAAATTTCACCTATAAGAATAAGTAGATGAGAATTTTGGTTTTACTTAGAATGTTGAAAGCTATATGAGAATGTTGCTCTCACCTTAACAAAAAAATGCTAGATAATCTACAATTTTTTTGAACCCATTGGATAGCCAAGTCCTCCAGCCAAGGAAGTAAACCAAGATGGACTCTTCTCTGTGAAGAGAAGTACTTCATCTTTATTATAGTTAGAGCATGGGAGAAAAAGATAAGTAGGTTAGAAGAAATCAACTCAAAGTTTAACAAATTCCTAAAGGCCAAGTGTGGGCTACCATGTCCACTTAGAATGTCTCAGAGTCCCTGGAAAATGAACACCTACCAAATTCTCACAAGAAAAACAAGGACCAAGTTAGGAGACCTGAAAGAAACCTCTTGGTGAGGGAAACGTGTGACTTTTCCAAAGCCACAATCACTTCCCCAAGCCTTTCTCTTGAAAATCTTAAGCTGCTAGAGCAGTAAAAGCAAGTTGTGTTACTTCCAAGGCTCAGGAAAATTTCCACTGCATGTTGTAGAATTCTGGCAGCATATAAGGAAAGAATGGGAAATGGATAAAAGCACTGACCCTGGATGTCAGGTGTGGTGTATGCCTGTAATCCCAACAGTCAGGAGGCTGAGGCAGGAGGATCATTAAGAGTTTGGAGCCATCCTGTGCTACATAGTTCAAGAACAACGTAGGGAAAAAATGGCAGAGTGGTGATCAGTAGCAAAATTCAGCCTCTCTAAGATCTAGAATCCAGACACTGGAAAATAACAACTTGTCCATGAAAAAAAAAAAGGCAAATCTCTGGGAGTCAGGAAGGAACTGACAGGAAAAATTAGAAGCTACAGGGAAGTTGGAAAGATGGTCCACAATGTAGAGAAGAGACCTCTCAGCTTACAGGGAGGGAACTGGGCTCCCCAGAAGCAAAGTAAGTGCCTAGGGCTAGGAGAAAGAGCGGCATAATTCCGTTGTGAACTGCAAAAACAGCATGGGATTTTGCTCCAAGTGTACTCCTTTTACAGACAGGAAACGGCTGGAGAGGGATTCAAGTGTGGATGGCCACCATTTTGACAGTGCTTGATCACTTGCCATTATAGGAAGAGACTGAGTATTTAAATCTGGGACTCAGAACAACTAAAAACCAACTTGACTCCAGGGCTCCCAGTGTTACCCTCCCACAGTAACTGGGCAAAAGATAGCACTGGACAGGGAACAGGCTAGAAAGTGATTCCCTGAGATGTTTAAACTCAGGTCAGGGAAGACATATGCCCCATCATCCACAATAAGAAGCCAGGACTGGCTTGAGTTGCACTCAGGTGGGTCTGGGAAGGGAGTAGAGAATGTAAAAAGAATATCTGTTCCATACATATACCAACTCATGATGAATGTACTGCAAATACAGTAATTTTTAAAACTGCAGAAGAAAACTGGTTCTGATAAGTATTTGAACCCTTGTCCTGCTGCCTACATCCAACACAGATCTGAAGTCTGATTGTCTTCTCTATCTACCAACGTGAGCAAAGACACATCTTGATGTGGACATTTCCACAGCCTGAGGTAAACAGGAGCCTCTAGAATAAGAGGTGTGCCTCACAAACCTACAGGTCATAAGCATAGGCAGAGAAAACAAATATCTGCCGCACTCCAAACCTTCAGACCCTAGGAAGAAACCACTTATTCAAAATTATAGACGAGGGCTGGGGATGTAGCTCAGCGGCACACACCTGGCTGGCAAGTGCAAGGTCCTAAATTTGATCCTCAGTACGGTGGGGGGTGGGGTGGGGTATGTTTTTCCTGGTTTTGGACCATTTTTTTTTTTTACTCCTTTTGTTTTCTCTTTTTCCTTTATTTTTTCAATTTTTCTTTTTTCTCAGTTTTTTCTGTTACCTTAATCTAATTCTATAAATATTTGTCTACTCTATAATAGGATCCTTTGCCCAATTTTATCTCATCTCCCACTGTTTAATTTTTCAAATTGTTCTTTTTGCATTCTCTCATTCCCAACCCCCTATATCTTTAATAGTATAATCATTAAGCTTTATTAATCTTTAGTCAATTAACTATATTGCTATTGTTGAATTCTTGCCTATCATTAATAGAGGTATAGTTATTGCATTAAGTAGATATTTGGTGTATGTCAATATTTGGTTTGCCTTAGGGTTTATACTATCACTGTAGATATCTTTTCTCAGGTTAAGGGTGCTATATTATTGTTTCTTGTGGTATGTGGATATACAGTTTATTTAGTATAGTATTACTGTTGCTCATTTATTTAATATTGCCAGGGTCACATGGTTGTTGCTATGAATAAGTGTTCTTTGTATGCTAATACCCAGATTACCTTTGTGATATTAACAATAATGCAAACCATTCCCAGAGAACTGAATGCTGATCCAATTACACTGTATCTCTCTCTCCCATGTATTAACATAGGTGCTTGGACATGGGATAGAAACAAAGGACTATACTTATCCTGAGTGCATCACTGAAAAGTAGACTAAAGAGATATCCATACTACCAACTTATAGTGTTTCCACTATAAGTGACCACATACCTGCCATGAAACAAACAACAACAGAAACATGAGAAGACAGGGCAACAAAATGCCTCCCAAAACTCCCAATTCCACCAAAACCAAACCATGGAGCACTGAGGGCGAGGAAAGGGAAAGCCCCACAAAGTATTCAAAAAGATTACAGAGGAGATTAAATAAACATCAATGAGGAGCTTTGTGTGCTCACAGAAAACAGAACTAATTAGAAAATAGAGATAATAAAACAATCAGAGCTTAGAGGAGACACTAATAAAAAGGTAGCTGAGCTTAATAAAATGATACAAAATATAAACAGTTGAACAATGAACTGAAATCCATGAAACAGTTCCAAACAAATCCAGGAGATTAAAACATTATGGACAGCAGAAGTGATCAATAGAATATCAGAAATAGAATGTAGGGATGCTTTCACAGACCAATTACTCAGAGATACCTTAAAAACAAGAGAACATGAAAAGTAGATTCAAGAGCTGCTAGATGACACAAAGAAGACTAAGATTAATTGGAATAAATGAAAAATCAGAAGATACAAAGGGCATAAAAACTGTTTACAAAAATAATAAAGCTTTCCAAATATTGGGAAAGGTACAGATAAGTGAAGCATATAGAACCCCAAATAACCAAGATCAAAAGAGAACCTCTCCACCTCACATCCTAGTCAAAATATCAGAAATCCAATACAAGGACAATTTTAAAAGTTGTTAGAGAAAAGCAACGAATCACTTATAAAGGTAAACTCATTAGAATTACAGCAGACTTCTCAACACAAACCTTAAAGTCCAAGAGAAATCAGAGTGAAGTGTTTCAAGCTTTAAAACAAAACAACTTCCAACCCAGACTTCCATGTCCTGTAAAACTTTCTTTCAAAATTGATGGAGAAGTAAGGTACTTTTATGACAAAGAGCACCTCAAGAAATTTATGACTACCAAAACAGCATTTCAAAACATTCTCAAGGATATCATAGAAGGAGACAATGAAACCAACTGTGCCCCCCCCAAAAGAATAAATACACCAGACATGATGAGCCAGTTAAGCAGAAAGATGGGAGTAAGCAACTGGAAAATAATGTATTGGCAGAAATAAGTCAGTACCTTCCAGTAATAATTCTTAATGTGAATGGTCTCAATTCCCCAATCAAAAGATGTAAGTTGACAGAATGGATCAAGAAACTAAATTCAATAATGTATACAAGAAACAAATTTAATTAAAAAAATACACATTAAAAATCAAAGATTGGAGAAATAGTCCATGCAAAAAAGCAGAAGTAGCTATCAATTTCAAACAAAGTAGATTTCAAGCCAAAACTGATGAAAAGAGTCAAAGGAGGCCACTTTGTATTGGTTAAAAGAACAATTCAACTGAAAGAGATAACATATAAACATATGTGCACCTATGACCAGTGCACCCAATTTCATAAACACTACTGTATATTTACAAAATCACATAAAAATCAATACAATTATAGTGTAGGACCTTGTCTTAGTTACTTTTCTCATTGCTGTGAAAAAGTACCTGACACCCAAAGTTAAAGAGGGAAAGGTTTAGGGGCCGGGGATTTAGCTCAGTGGTTCCAGCGCCTGCCATGCAAGCACAAGGTCCCAAGTTTGATCCCCGGTACAAAAAAAAAAAAAAAGAGGGAAAGGTTTATTGCACTCACAGTTTGTAGAGGTTTCAGTCCATAGTTGGCTGGCTCCAAGGCAGAGTGGCACATGGCAGAGGGGCATTGCAGAGGAGAAAAATAGTTCATTGCAGGCAAAGGTAGCAAAAGTAACAGTGACCCTTAACAGCATCTTTCTGCCCCTTTTATCCAGACTACTTAATCCGCACCCTTAATCCTAGTGTCCTTGAGTGAGTTTAACATTGCATCATGAATTAATTCCAGTATCACACACTCTAGATCAAGCCACCTCTGAAAAAGTCCCATCTATGTCCACATGAAGCTTTGGGGGACCATCTAAACACAAGCCATAACAGCCCACAAAAACTCACTGTCACAAATAGATCAATTAGATGAAAAATCAACAAAGCAGTATCAGAGTTGAACAAAACCTTCAAACAAATGGACTTAATAGGT